ATTTACATTTTTGATCAATTTGTGACAAAATGACAATGATATGATTAAAACAATGGGATTGTCTTTTAAACTGCATTTGTCTGCATTTACTGTACTTGTATAAACTCTCACAGAAATAACAGGAATATATTGTTTATTCTTTCTTTATAAGTCATGTGAAAAGAAGTACTTCCTCAAATGTCCTGATTTGACAATTTAAATGTTCAACAATTTAACATAAATTGAGTTACCAAACGGCATGGCTCGGGTGGTATGTCTGCTGCCAGCTCGCCGACACTCTTTTCTTATGTAAAGTTGTACAGCTGAGGCATGATGACCTTGGTAAATTTTTTAACGGCTTGAAAACAGTTTCCACCGTGCTTTTGCAACCTGTAAATGGGCATCGCATCTTTGGCCCTTTTTAGCACGACAAATTCTGTAATTGCCTTTCACTTGGCTCCTTTCTTGTCATATGGAAAAACGTGTGAAAATTTCTGCTCATGCTGTCCATTTCTTCGCAAGAAATCAACTTTGTAGTTGTTTTTATTCTCGGAAAGTCAACTTGGAGTATTAGAGTGACTGGAGATATTAGAGCGACTTTTATTGAAGTCAGTATGCATGCACATCAATAGCAGAATTTATAAGGAGGGGGGTCGTTGCCCTGTGGGGACACCGTCACGGAGCAGAATGGTGCTCCACACAAAAAGTGGCTTTCAAACGATAATAATAAAGTCCAAGAAAACTCTGTTGGCATTTAAAATTCGCAGTGCTTCTCTTTGCTTGGCCAAGCATCTAAGGGAAAATGAAATCTCTGTAAAGGAAAGGGCATAATATGCTATAATTTGTTTTACTGGCGTGCATGCTATATTGCCTGACCTCTGATGGTTATCGTCACCTTCACGATTCGCACCTCGCCAAATGCCCTAAATAAGATGTTGACACTTGTGGAAATGGAGGCGAGATCAAGAATCCTGGTTTTGAACCGCACGACTTCCGGAGATGTAATTATGCTGGCTGCAAGATGCTTGGGTTTAAGGATTACACTGAAACTTGATCCTGCTCTAGTGTGCTCTTGCGTATAGAGCAAAACAGAACAAAATTTGAGGTTGTTCTGAAAGAAAAGAAGGCGGGTGGTGGAATATCATTTCATGCGCCTGCAAATAGATGAAGATTTTCTCAGATGTCATATTGTTTTATTGGATATAGCATCAGATTCACTTACATACACTTATGTCAGAATTATGTAATTTAAGAATTATAGTAATTTTATTTTATTTTTTTAATGTGTGAGCAGATTGTTCTGTTTTAAATCAAGGAATTGCTTTTTCCCTTTCAGCGTTGCGAGTGGAGAGAGTGGGTGTGTGCAAACCAGGCAAGACGTCCACGGAAGAAAGTTTGGAGTGGACAGACATATAATGCACAGGTGCATGTTCTACATGCAAACTCCACGCAGCAAGATGGATTCGAAACTACAACCTCTGCAGTGTGAGGCGGACGTGCTAACTCATCGATCACCGCGCCACCTGAAAGTACAATTGTTAAGTTAAGAGGTGTCAGGATACATTCAATATGCAACGATGACAAAATCTTCTTGCGTTTGGAGTGGCGCCACAAATAAATCACAAAAAGTTTGGGGATTTTTCGATAACTTGACAGCAAAGATCCCAAGAATGCCGAAGGGCGGAATAGCCACTTCAAAATGGACAAGACTGGAACAAAACCTCCATCATCTGATTTATCAAAGATATGCATAACACTTTTTTGGTATGGGCGACTGTCAATACCAGGTAGTGATCGGACTGCTATCGATCTTATTCGAAGGTATCGAGTATTCACAAAGAGCGCTGATACCATTCACTAATACCTATAGCGCCCTCTTGTGGCCGTTCTATGATAAGGCAGTAAATGGCATGCACGACTGAAAGAAGGTTTTTCTGAACTGCAGCCACGTCCGTCCTCGCATATTCCTATTAAGATGCAATTTATATATGTACATCTATAAGGTCCATATTAATGCTGAGATTTATACTTTTGGTAACTCATTCCTGCATGGCTGACAGCGTATTTGACTCTTTTGAATTCCACCCATGTCCATCACCTCATAAGCCCATTAAGATGCAATTTCTATATGAACGTTCACAAGCTTTATATTAATGCTTAGCGTGCTTATTAAAGATTTTTTAATTTTAATTTTATTCAATTTGAGTGGTATGCTGACTTTCTCCATTGTGGTATTTCATGCATATACTTACTTTCCACACACAGTCATTGATTGGGAAAAAGAGAAAATGGATATTATTTAGTGCATTAACAAGATATATTTTTCCTGCTGAATGCAAAGGCAACATAGTGCTTTTACTTATTCGTAGGATTATACAGAGTGCTGTACTCAACCGTTGCCTACTTTTTTGTGCTTGGTTGTATTGTATTGTATTAATCCATTGAACGTCCCTAAAATTTTGGTTTGGCTTGTGTTTTGAGTAATTTGGCCAAAAATATTGGCAAGGCTGTTGGCTAACAACAGCTACAACACACCTTTCATTTCAGCATCAATGTTTCACAATAGTGCCATTTATCCGAGCAACAGAAAAGTCAAGCAATCTTCTTAAATGTTGACCAATAGTCATAGCCTAACGAATTGTCAGTCAAACAGCATCAGTCACCAAAAGAACTAAAATGATCATTTACAATTTATGCTATCATGCTAGCCTTAAGGCAAAATCTACCATGAAGGCATTTTATCATTCACTTTTGATTTATTAATTAACTGCTAAATGAATTATCCAGTCCATCAACAATCACGTTAACTATGATTAAAACTATGAGTTTTGATCACATGCATTTTAAAAATAAATTTAGCAGTTGGAATGTAAATTACGATCTGTGTGCCGAAGCAATTCATATTTGTTTAGTACATTGTTTAGTCCAAAAAGTACCGGTTTTCGATTTCACTGCTTGCCTTCATATGGATGAATCTTTTTCTTAATTGTGGAGATGTGGTTTAGGATGAGGCGAGCAGACAAAGGCAAGTCATGTGTCTTTACTCGCCACACAAAACTAACTGTTACTGTCGTCACACCGTGTCTTTTATCCATTTGAATCCAACAACATGTAAACTCCCTCCTCTCACTATGATAATTAAAGTTATGTTTAGCTCTACTGTATCATCAAATTGGTCACCCATTGCATTAATCAATACCCAAGAAGTAGCTCTTCGTTTCCAAAAGGATGGTGACCCCAGTCCTTTAGAGATGAAATCACAATTTAGTGTACTGTATATACATTATGGTACATGTTTGTTTGTGCAGCAATATTTTTCAAATTTAAATGCTATACCTTGACTCTACAATGGTTTGCAAAGCCTGCACTGCTCTCTGAGTTGTATTTGATATGAAACACCAGAGGGCGCTAGAAGCCTCTAGACTGACTCCCGTCGATTGCGCAATCATTGAACCGGTGGCACTGACTGGATTGTCTTTTGTCTCCGTGAAAGTATTTCTTTTAAAAATACAGTACTTCTTCTGAATACACTGAGTGACTCACTTTTGCGAGGGTACCAAATATACTCTTTAAGGTACGGTTTTTTTCCACCTCCAAAGGTATAAACTGCTTTGGGCTATTGCAACAAGTTGTACACAAAACACTCCTACCTAAGTGACTTAAAACTCAACCCGGTCCAGCCTAGCCCGCTCTTTCAGGGACTTGAGGTTGGGCAGGTTAGTGGGGCGGGACTGTGACGCCTCCTCCACCCGATGACGTCACTTCGCTCGCTCGGACGGAGTGAAAAAAGAGGCACTATTTGCTGGAGCGCAAGCAGCGCGGCAACACGCAGACACGCTCGCAAGAGTGAGTCAGCCCGCCGGGAGTAAAAGAGCGGAATCGTTTACCTGTGTGTTCTATTACGGAATTCAACTGAACACGCTCCAGCCCAGAGGCCACTTTTTTAAAGCGAGATTATACCTCACGTAGGACTGCCCCCCTCCTTTTTTTTCCCCGTCTCCCTTCCCAGCGAAGTGAACCTGCTGTGCCCCCCCCCTTCCCCCTTCTCAGGAACATTTCGGAGCGACCATGGCCGGACAAGACTGCGTTCAAGTGCTGCTTTTGCTCCTCGCCTCGACACTTTTACCACACGGTAAGCGAATGCCCAAACAAGTTTTGTCCATGAGTAGTTTCGATGCCACCTTGACCACCTGTCACGGACGCGGAAGTCCGACCAGGTGCCCCTCATCCACAGCCGTTTTTTAAATATTAATAGCCAGTTAAATATTAATAAAAACATTTAAAAGCGGCAGAAAAACGGTGTGCATGTGGCATTTCGTATTCTTATCGCGTTTTCGGCCCCGTTTCGCTTCTTTGATCGGAGTTTCGGTGAGTGACGTAGTGCCTGTTTTAAGGTGTGGCTCCGCGGGGCTGCAAGGTGTTTGTTCGCAGGTGATTGACAGCTGCGTCTGCCTCAACACGTACACACACACACACACACACACACACACACACACACTTACTTTTGTGTCCTTGGTCCCTTGGTCCCTTGCACCAAAACCACCAATCTCCCCTTGCCATGCTTGCTTTATTCCACACATCAACCTCAGTTAGTTCCACTTGACTTGCAAGGCCCTGCAAACTTGCTCTTAATGTACTCGAGAGAATAGCAAAGTGGGAACCCGAACAATTTATTGTTTGTTTGCCTAGGTGCAACCCCCCCCCACCCCCTTATCCCCCCCCCCAACATTTAACTGTGAGTCATTCACTGAGCAAACCATTTCACATACTGTACGTTCGTTCCCATGACATCTGTAGGAAACCCTCGCCTACTTTCGAACTTGTTGATAAAAGACACCCGATCTGTGCAAATTTCGTTCAGTAACGGATTAAGATGTTGCTCAAGTGTAGTAGGTGTAAAGAGAAGGTAGTGTTGGCCACCAGCTGACAGGTGGCCGGCTTGACAGCAAACAACATCACGATATCCAACTCGTGAACTTTCACCCCTGAGAAAGCAGGATGGTAAAGTTTCAGGTGATGCTGACAAAGGTCCGGATTGCTATTTGCAATGGTGTAACGGCTAGTTATTCAACAAGATACAGTGAAACTAGGTGAAAATCTGATATATACTGTTGAAAGACCGTTGAAAAACCAATCTAAAAAATGAAATTTTACCCTTCTCACATTTCAACACATTTAAACTCATCAAAACACTTAATGGATTGTTAAATAACATTTGAACGCAAAAACTAATTTCAAGCATAAATTGTTCAGAAAGTACTTTACATATTGTTTGCAAATGCATGTGCCTTTACAAGGTAGGGGTTGTTAGGATGTGGGCGAGACCACCTGTGAGAGTCTGTGTGAACTGTGGCCGACAGCAGCTTTTGTGTGATTGTTTTCCCGGCGTTCAATAAATGTCCAAATTGCAGTAAGTATATCACTGAAAGAATTGTTGTGCTCTAAGTAACAATTTCAAATTGTGCCAAGAAATGCACAAATGTAAATTAATGATGATTCGCTTACTGGTTTGGTCCTTAACATGGTGCAAAATATGGAAAATGTTCATCATTGTTTTCCAAATTTTACATTTTATTTTAATTTTTGACCCAAAACGAACATCAGTGTACTTTCAGGTCATACTGCAGAAATCTGAGAATATTTACGGTTGACAAGCTGAAATTCAGATGATTTGGACAATTACCAAAAAAAAAAAAAAAAAAGGAAAAAAAAAAACCCTCATTGTTTAAAAAAAGAGATCGGAGGGTCCAAATCAAGCCAGTCCTCTGTTCAGAAAAAGCTTCGGCTGAGAGTGCTATCAAGTCAACTGGTATAGAATGGAATTAAAAACAATTTTGCTACCCAAGTGCTTGTTTTGCATTCATCTTGTTTTTTGCCAGTAGCTGTTTTGTTTTTCCCGTTTTTTTTTTTTTTTTTTTTTTTATTTCTTTG